CCCCAGCACCACCTGGAGGCCCCACCTCCGCGCCCGCCCCACCTCCCGGGAAGGCGCAGACACACAGGACGCTTTTAGCAAAAAGTAGACTTTTATTACAGCAGCAACTGAGGCGAACTGAATGGCCCCCCGGGCCACACTGCAGCACCACCCTTCTCCCGCCCCCTCCGCCCCAGCGGGATTGTAGAAGTCAGCTCCCCCGGCGCCGTGGGCTCCACTCCACACAGGCTGGGCAGGAGCCGGCGGTTCAGCTACTAGCCCCCAACTAGGCGGCTGCTGAGGAGGCCCAGGCCCACGTCTGTGCAAAACAAGTAAACAAAGTGCAGAGGGAGGAAGAGAAGGGGAAGGGGTGGGGTGATGCTCAGAACCAGGGCGCCCCAAAGCCCTCCTAGATAACAAAGGAGCGGGGCCTCACAGGGTAATACTGACTGGGGGGAAGGGGCGGGAAGGCTGCCGCACTCAGCGACGGCCACAGCTCAGGTCAGGGCCTGGCCCCAGTAAGCTCTAGGAGGAGACTGTGACAGCGGCCGAGTTGAGGGTGTTGTTCCTGGCAAAATTGAACTTGTTCAGGGTCTCCTCTAGCAGAGAAGTCAGCCGGCTCTGGTCAGCCTGAGGGAGAAAGCTCAGTGAGACCCGCTGAGAGAGGAACGGAGGCAGCCCCGCAGCTGAAGGCAGAAACCTCACCTCGCTAATGAAGCCCAGCTGCACCAGCTCAGCCGCCAACTCAGGGATGTTCTCATCTGACAGAGAAACAGGAGAGCGTGAGTACACGGTGCCAGTGAGAGGCACGGAGCCCTTCCAAGAGCCCCAGTCGGTCTACTCTGGCTGGGAAAGAGTGATACAAGCAAAACTATCAGACTTAAATTTTAGGGGCTGATATATTCACTTTGTGTAAGTCAGTGCGTGACTGCCCTGTCACCTTCCCCACCCCTGAGTGTGCCCCTCACAGATAAGGCTCACAGACTCCCATCCTGGGAGGGAAAGGAGAGACTCACTTGGCATCAGGTCACAGCTCAGGTGCCGGTTCAGTTTGTCCTCCAGCTTCAGCAGAAGCGTTAGCTGGGGAAGAGGACAGTCAGGAAATGAGGCTCCTCTTCTCCACCCCCTGGCCACCCAACCCCACGCAGCCCTGGCCCGGAGCCTTACGTGGTGTTTGACGCCCTCCTCCACTGACTCAATGTTGCACTGCATCAGCACCACCTGGGGAGAAGGGACAGAGAGGGTTGGTTACTAGAGTAGGGACCAGGGAGTGACATGGTTGCCAGGGAGCAGAAGCACATTCTTTTCTCCAAAGGACAAAGCCTTATTTGAGATGCCCTCTTCTCCCACCATAACCATACCAACATCCATACCCACAGAGCCCCACCTTGCGGGTCTCCACCTCAGCTGGTTCAGGTGTTGGAGTCTTGACAGAGGGGGGCACCACAGGTGATGTCACCTCCTCCTGCTGTGGCTGCTGGGGCCGAGGCAGCCCAAAGGCTGTCAGGGGGTAGATCCCATTCCTAAAGGGAGATAAGACAAGTCACATGGGCTCTGTGCATGCCTTAGCACGCCCACCCCTGCTTCCTCAGAAAGCCGCCTCACTCCCCTCTCACCTGACATCTTCGAGGAATTTATCCAATTCCAGAGCTGGTGACTGAGAGTACCTGGAGGAGAAAAGACAGATGATGGAAGGAATGAAACAAGCAAAACAGTAGATTCAACCATTCCCAGAGAATGGACAGTTGACAGAATCCTCAGGATGGTAGTGACCAATCTGCCCCTTTCAGACCCTCTCAGTTACTCACAAAGTCTGAACTGGTTCTCTTCCTGGTCCTGCAGGGATTTCGGCCAGTACAGCACTGGTATCCATGTTTTTGGTGATCTCCTCCAATGCATTCTCTGGAATCATGTCTGGAGGGCATGACAGAATGAGACGTTGTACAGGGATAGTCAGACTAATGTCATAGACGGTACTGAGGTCCTGGGGGGTTAAGAATCCCTTAGCCCTGGCTGGGTACTCAGTGGTTAGAGTGTCGGCCCAGCACCAAAGGGTTGCAGGAGGCAACCAGTCGATGTGTCTCTCTTAAATTGATGTCTCTGTATGTATCTCTCTCTCCCTTCTTTCCCCTCCCTCACTCCCTTCCACTTTTTCTGAAAAGCAATGGAAAAAATATCCTCTAGTGAGGATTAACAACAAAAAAAGAATCCCTTTCGAAGCAGAAGAGAAAAGATAGCAAGCCAGTGATAGTTATAAGGCTCCAGATAAGAAGAAAATTCCTAAGAGGGCCAACAGGACTCACGTTGGTGTCCCACAATGCAGTGGGCAGCAAGGAGTTTCAGTGAGGGTACTTCAAACAGTGCTGGGTGGAACAGAAGCTCTCTGGCTGTTGGTCTGCGAGCAGGCTCAGACTGCAGGCACTTTTGAATGAATTCCTGGAAAAGGGAACAAGGAAGTGGAGCAGGCATTTGGCAAGCACCCCACTGTATTCTTTATCTCTCTCATTATACTTAGCACAGGGCTTTGTATGTATATACTAGGTGCTCAGCACTAGTTGAGGGAACCCATTGCTAAATGTTATTGGAAAGGGCTTTGAGAACTAAATTTATAAGGTATTATATAAAAGGTATTATTCACTGCCCTTCTGGTTTTAATAATTATTTTTCTGCTCTCCAACCATAAGCTTTCTTTTCTTTACAGTTCAAACTTATTTTCCTTATTTCCTACCTCTCTGCTTTATTGGCCCAACTCACTGCCTACTTATCTTCTCCAACCCTTGCCAAATTTATCTTTTCTCTTCCCAAACATATTCACTGTGGTCAATAACATTCACCATCCTTTAATTTCCTGAGCCTAGAACCACAATTTCCTTTGTCCACTACACTTATTAAATGCACTGGATTTCCCCATGCCTCTTCTAAGTCACCCCTTTCCATCTCCATAGGTCCCATGATAATCAACTTTTCCTCCTTTCAATCTTGAAGGCCCATAATGTCATATTCCTAATCTTTCCCTTGAACACACCACCCCTAACACTGAACTGGAAACTTATTCCACACTAGCCTCAAGAATTTCCATTAGTCTTCTTTCATTTCTCTCCCTTTCACACTTAATGTAATGAGCTACAAACTATCCTTGTATGGACACTCCTGTCCTGATTCCCCTTACTGCAGTTTATCTACTGACTCATAATCCTTATAATTCTTTAAGTCTTAGCTCATTATTTAAGGTCACTCTCCCTACCTAAAACTACAGTTGACCCTTGAACAACATGAGTTTGAACTGCATGGGTTCACTTACACTTAGATTTGTTTTAATAAATACCTGTACTGTTTTCAATCCGTGGTTGGAGAGGGCAGACAGTATGCATTGATCTATGCCATTTATACAGGGGGCTTGGGCATCCCCAGAGTTTGGTATCCACAGGGGGTCCTGGAACCAATCCCCTGTGGATACCAAGGGATAACTTAAGTTTTAGGGAGTCAAAAGTTATATGCAGATGTTCGACTGCACAGGGGGTTGGTACTCCTTCCCCGCGTTGTTCAAGGTCAACTGTGTGTGTGTGTGTGTGTGTGTGTGTATCCCCAAATGACTGATCAAATTCAAAAATACCAAGACAACCAAAGGACTTATATGCATGCATATAGGGCTAACCAATGGACACAGATAACTGGAGGGTGAGGGCATGAGTGGGGGGGATGGGGAGGTAATGTGGGGATAAGGACACATATGTAATAACTTAATAAAGAAACTTAAATATATGTGTGTGTGTGTGTGTGTGTGTGTGTGTATCCCCAAATGACTGATCAAATTCAAAAATACCAAGACAACCAAAGGACTTATATGCATGCATATAGGGCTAACCAATGGACACAGATAACTGGAGGGTGAGGGCATGAGTGGGGGGGATGGGGAGGTAATGTGGGGATAAGGACACATATGTAATAACTTAATAAAGAAACTTAAATATATGTGTGTGTGTAATGTTTGACCAAATACAGCAGACTAAGTTTTAAGTTGATACTTTTGTATGACCCATGAATGATGTTATAAATATCCAAATGGCTGTTGGCAGAAAAAAGGTTCTCTACCCGTGTCTTAGAGTGTATACCAATTACCTGAGGTAACCATCAAATTAGTTTACCTCCATGCTGAATTAATGCATAACCTTTAACCCCAATATTACCCTTCATAAATCCTGAACTATGTGTATATACAAAACACATGGTAGTCACCACATAGGGAAATGTTTACTGTTTTTGCCTGTCCCTTCTGGTTATGTTCGCTTGCTCTTAGAAGAGAGCACATTCCCAGTAGGTAGAATGGAAGAAAAACTGAAGACATTTCAAAAGTCTGTTAAGGAGGAAGTGACCCTGAAAACTCTTACCCTCTGCAATGGGTCTTCTAGAAGCTGGATGGCACTGCTGATGGCTTCCTGTGGCACATATGAGGACTCTCCGTTGCCCTGAATCTCCAGCACTGCCATCTGCAGCGAGGGGAATAAAAAGGCAAGTGGAGAACTCAGAACCTCAGTGTTCCCAGTCACTCCCTCAAGACCAGTACTTTACTTGTCCTCCCTCCATCTCCCCTTCCATCTTCTAATTTGACCCCTTTCCATCACCACCACCCCTCCTTGATGTGGTTTCCTCACCTCTAGTGCACACATGCCAAAGGAGTATATGTCTACTGCCGTTGTCACATTAGTGACTTCTAAGGGAAACAGAGAAGGCTTTGGTGAATAAGGATGGGAGCAGGGCATGGCAGAAATGCCTTTTAAAAAAATTTGTATGCCAGTAGAGAAGGACTAGCAGTTTCAGTTATGTTATTTCTGTGGAAAACAGGGAGGGCAGAGGGCAGAAAAACTGGAATGCCTCACCTCCGTATTCTGGTGCAAAGAAGTGTAGATTCTTCTGCTCTTCCCGACAAGTCTTCACATGGTTGTTGATAGTGTCAGGAGCCACTGGGAGTAGGGGAGATACCCACAATCTAACCACCATGAACAAAGAAGTCGCACTCCAGAGAGGCCCCCAAAAGCCAAATTCTCTCCTGAAGTCTCCAACCTCAAAAGGCACAAACCCTTTCCCATCAACTACAGACTATACCGGAGCACCACCTACCTCCCCTTTCTCAGTCTACCACTTCTCATCGAAGGTCCCTAACTCAGTTGCAACAAAGGTTCCATACTAAACTAACAGGTTCATGGGGCTTTGGGCTAATCAAGGAGCAATACGGGCCAAGGAAAAATTCACTTGTGACCTGTTCACCTTCCCCAAAGCCCAGGTACATCTAATCCCTGATCACAGGAAAATGTTTGATGTAGTTCTTTCACCCACCCTGCAAACAGCATAAAATACCGGCAGCCCTTCCTAATCTAGGACCATTTGAGACCTGAGACACTTAAAAGATAAGAAGGATACAACCAAATAGATAGCCTCCTTCTTGCCCACCTCTGCTGTCTAAAACTCAGAAATAGCTCAAAATTGAACCAATATCCTTGAGTCACTTTCACTTTTAACCCACAAAAAATTTTAGACCCCTGCTCTATCCCCTTATACTTCAGCATTGCCTGCCACAGAGCTGAATGAGGAACCAGGGTCAGGCCCAATTTGGACTCACTCAAATCATAAACAATGACTACATGTCACAGAGTTTGGGAGCACAGTATGATTTAGGGAACCAGCTTGATGATGAGGGGAATAAGAATCTAGGATGTAAGTGGCCAGCCAGGCAAGTCCATAGGAAACAAGCAGGTTATGGAAGGGCAAGCAGTTGAACGACTGGTAGGGCAGAAGCCAAGCAGGCGTAATTAGGCAGGGGAGGTAGGAGAATAGGGGTTGCTCCCACGACTGCATGCACTGGGCAGCCGCAAAGGGGAGCAGAAGGAGCACAAACAGAGCCCCATGTGGGGCAGAGGGAGCTCTCACCATTAGCAAAAATCCTATGAAACACTGTTGGGAACAGAGCAGCCCGTAAGCGGGAGGGAGGAAAACAGAGAAAAGTTGTGAGCGATGGAGCAGCCAAGCCCCAGACAAATGGACACGCAAATACCACACAAACACGGCACACAGAGATGTTAGACACTGCACACAGATACACAGCAAATGAAAGCACTCACAGCAGGCACAGCCTGGAACCTCCTTTGGTAGGGTCCAGCCCCAGAGGCTCAAGTTAGACCTTACACCCATCTCTTCTTGCCCTTTCCCAACCTCCTATCAAGATCTGTGATTCTCTGTATTTACCCGCTTCCCTCCAAAAAGCTGTGCAACTAGGATTAGACCCTACACCCTTTCTACTGACTGGCCTCTCCTATGAATTACCCCTAGAAAGGTCCTTTCTCTTATCACCAGCCCACACCTCAGAATTTTGCTCTGTTCTCCCCATTCCTTTTGTCTTACCCCCATGGTTCCCAAAATCCCGAGGCTCCCCTGCCCAGAACCTCTCCCTCCCCTCACCAGAGCCAATCTTGATGAGTCCGTTGTGCTGGATGAAGATGGTGTCACAGGTCAGGTTCCCATGGATGATGGGGGGGTCACAGGAGTGCAGGTAGCTGTGGGGGCACTGGGCTGTTAGAGGGGCCACTGGGAAATTAAGGGCAGGGGGAACCCAGGGGTTAAGAGGGGCAAGGGGCTGGTGATCTGCTGGTCACCACAAAGATAATCCCCACACTCTGAATCTCCATTTTGCCTGAGGAGTTAAATAGCTGGATAGGCACTAGGAGAAAGAGTTGGGAGACAGTATCGTGTTTGGGGCATTAGGAAGGTTAAAAGACTCATGGGGGCCTAGTCTTGACAGGATATGACTAAAAGAAAGTGGGGTGAGGCTGCAGAAACAGCAGAATAGTGCTCAGAAATCTGTTTGGAGGAACTAAATCAGGAGACACGGGAAAGACACTAACCAGACCCTACATACCTTAGAGCAGAGAGGATTTGTGTGCACCAGCGCTTCCAAGCCTGGAACAGAGTGAGCAAGGGGCAGCAGTAATCCCTCTCTCAACCCTCTTCCTGATCAGCTTTATAATTAACATAAAATTTTTGAAACCCCCAAACCAGCTTAAAACTTTGTTCTCCCTCCATACCTTTTCATTCATAGTCTTGTGGTTCTTTTTGGTCTTCTTCAAAAATTGCTTAAGACTACCAGATGACATGTATTCTGTGATAAAAATGACCTAGAGAGGCAAAGCACACCAATAAAGCTTTATAGCAGAAATGATCCCCTGCCTTTATATACATAAACACCACATGTATATCAATTTAGAAGCTTTGCTTTGTTTTTTAAGTTTGTCTTTTTTTGTTTTAATACCACTTCCTTAAATTTTATTTTAATGTTTTTTGGGAATTCATCTCTTTTTTTGAAATATGTTTTTTATTGATTTTTAGAGCAAGAGAGAAACATCAATTGGTTGACACCCTCCCCGCCCCGCCCCCCATAGGAACCCCGAACCTCAATCTGGGCATGTGCTCTGACTGGGAATCAAACCAGCGATCCTTCAGTGCACAGACGACGCTCAATCAACTAAGCCACGCCTGCAAGGGCCACTTCCTACATTTAGTAGTATAATGAAAACTACTGAGCTATGTATGGGAAGAAGAAAATAAAAGTTCACTCATTTCTGCCCCATCTATAACCAGACAAAAGGCACTGGTGGTAATCAAAGCCCTACTCTCATCACCATACCAGTTGATTCCAGCTCTGTTTCAAAACTATCTTGTTTTACTATCTGGATGTAAGTAAAAATAAATGTAGCTAGTTTGTTGCAGTAAGCTCAGGAAAAAGTTCTTACCCTGGCCTTGTTCTCTTTAATGTCAGCCCAATACTTGTGAAACTTAACAATGTTGAGATGTTCCAACTGAATCAGATTATCAAACACAGCTCGGACCTTTTCCTGGGAGCAGGGGAGACAGTGGGATTATTGGGTTAAAAATCATTGTAATCCTGAAAAACCATTCCCTATCCCTCCCCAAAATGATCTAACCCCAACATACTCTCCTTAGTCAGCTTCCCAATACCAATTCCTCTTTAATACCAGCATTCTAACACCCCATAGATAGTCGGTATCATTTCACCATTACCTACCTCCTGCAGCTTGTAGTTCTTGCGCTCAGAGAATTGTACCTCATTCCACACAACCTCTACGCCCTCCTCTGTATCCATGGCCAGGTATGCACTGTCAATACCTGGTACATTCCGCTGATTCACCTAAGAATTCAAATGAAAGGTAATTATAGTTACCTCATGAACCCCCAATTTTAATACTCCATATGATCATCTTCACCAAGGCTCTGACCTACTGAAGTTTGGTCTGTACCTTTCAGAATTTGCCCCTCTACATCTCACCTCTTAGAATTCACTCTCCTAAAAGTGACACTTCCATCACCTTACCTCTTCTCGCCTCTTCTGCCAACGCCCACAGGGTGACTCTTCCAAGATCTCAGACTCATCTTCACTTTCTTCTTCTTCCTCTGGGGAAGCAGCTGAGGTTGTGGAAGTCACGGGAGGTGACACTGACGTCAGGCCAGTTGCTGAGGATGAAGATTCTACCTTTGGGTCTGAGCCACTGCTGAGTACTGTCTGGGACTCCCCCTCCGACATGCTGGAACGAACAGTCAGGCCTGCATTGGTTGGGGCAAGGATGGATGAAGAAGGCAGAGTCAGCATAGATCTATAAAGATTTAATCCTAAAAACCTCATCTGGGATTAAAAAGAAAAAACATACCTCCTTTGTTTCCTTAAAATCCAAACGCAGAAACAGTCCTGTCTGAACACTGAAGCCTTAACTACTCTCCTAATCTAGAGAAGAGAAGCTAGTTTGGTTGAAGATGACCCACCCAAGAGTGGCAAACACAAGATTTATGGCAATAATGCATCCTTAGTAAAGTCCAAATGAACAGCAAAACCAGGGGCCCATTGTTTTCTCAGCAAATATTTGCTCAATAGCCTTCCCTTTGAATCCTCATCTGCCCTATTTGCACTGTGCTCAAGAACTAAGCTACATGGACACCGTTCAGAACAGATTACTCCAAACCCCAAAATGCTCCACTTATCCAGCCCAAAGGCTGGACCTGTAGCGCTCTCAGCCAGTTTATCCTCGTGAACCCCTCAGGGGTTCTTCCTTGTGACTTACTCCACTAGAACTAACCTTGGCATTCACTATCCATCCCTCCTACACACACAAGGAGCCTGACAATCCATGGTGAGGCCACCCTTGGGCCAGATGACAGGCAATGGTTAGTGACTTCATCCCTGATGACCTCACCTTCCCTGTGATGTGAGTGTGGCAAATGGATATTGAGTAGCAACATTTTTTCTCATTCACTCATTCAACAAATATGTATTAAGCACTTATTATGGGCCAAGCACTGGGCTAGGTGCTTGAGATACAATGAATAAAAGAAAACAATGTTTATACTCATGGAGTCACAAATTTAAAGCAGATCTCAGACTTTAAGCTTCCAGCTTTCATTTCATTCACATGGCTCCAAGGCACCATCCCCTGGGGCACTGGATCCACCTTCCTATACTCCTTTCAAGTACAGTAGTTATTGGAACAAATACTAAAGTACTATACAGTATAACATTTTTCAGGGACATAGCTACTGGAAGAAAAGGAATTCTCAAAAGCTAAAAGTCACTAATTGTCCAGATAGTCATAGAACAACCATGGTCTGTTATTCCATTTCTCTAACAACAAAAGCTGTGAAGGAGTTGGAACCCGTGTGTGCTGGTCCCCAGGGAGTGCTCTCCAGTATGAAAATATTATCCTGGAAAGTAGAGTTGTTCCTCTAAGTTCAGAATACAGATCTCTGATCAACACCAATCTTTTGAAAAACCTCATTTCTTTTTAGAACTCGAGAATGCCCCCTTCTGCCCATCTCTTCCCCAACCTATACTATGTTTTTTTAAATATATTTTTATTGATTTCAGAGAGGGAGAGGAAGAGAGAGACAGAAACATCAATGATGAGAGAGAATCATTGATTGGCTGCCTCCTGCACACCCCCTACTGGGGATCAAGCCAGCTACCTGGCCATATGCCCTGACTGGAATCGAACCCAGGACCCTTCAGTTGCAGTCCAATGCTCACTGCGCCAAACTGGCTAGGGCTAACCTACACTACTTTTAACTCAAGTCAGGAGATTTTTATTAGATAACACCCTACTAAATACCAGAGAGCAACAAAGCATACAGAGAAAATCTGGCAAGATATTATTTCCCTATGTTATTTTCTAGGTTCTTGACTATCAAACATTTTATTCAACCAGCCAGGAAAGCTACAATGTGAATGTGTTAGTAATCCACCAGAATATGAGTTAATTTTGGTTCCTTTCTAGAGCAGCTATAATATCGAATATATCCGGAATCTGAACAGCTAAGTGAAATTTCCAGCTAGATTACAATAGGAAATACTAGTGGAATTCTAATACTGGAAGCCTGTAGCCAATGGACTCTCAAGAAACCTCTGGATCCAGAACACAGACTACTAATCCACAGAAGGGCACCACAAGAAAAGCCAAACTTTCATCAGTCATAGGATGCCCTTTGAAGGTGCTTGTCCTCTCCCTCCCCAATCTTTCCCCAGCAGCAAAATAAAGGCAATGCCAAGACCCCCCAGCACTCCCCCTCCTGCTGAAGAAATCTTTGCAACACTGGGAGTTTTGTCCAGGGTCGTTCAGAGGTTTGAATAAACCACCTACGGAAAAGGCCATTTACGCCCCTAACGGAGTCTGCTCGCCGCCTCCAGCCACCCCGAGATGCACAGTGTGTTCATTTCGGAGCAATGTAGGTAGATCACCCTGCAAAGTTTTTCTCTGAGACTTGCATTTCTTGGACTGCAGCCCCTCTGCATTGCAACTCCGCGGCCAGCAGCTCGGCAGGCCACAAGCCTAGGCTGCGCTCCCCCAGATCGGACCCCAGAGGGCCTCGGAGATCTACAGGGTTCCTCGGCAGACACACCGCGGGCGCAGGGGAGGAATTCACACTCCAACAGGTCGCCCTGCCAGGTGTCGGCGAGGGGACGCCGGCCCCGCA